CCGGACCGGGACAGTTAATATCCAGTTCGGACCTCGAGCCTGGGCAGATTCCGGAGCGTTGGTTGGGTGCCACCTGGCCACGAGACTGGCCACGCCCCAATTGTTTGACCACACCCACCTCCCGCGGTCACCGCAGAATGACCACTCCACGGTCTCGCCTCTGGCAAACTCACATCTCTATTGTTCATTAGCCAGAAGTGGTGACCTTGTCCACGAACCAGGCATTTTATTCTACGTCATACCTCTGAGACAGAGCCACCCTTCGTTTTTTTAGCTAACAAAAACCGTTAGGGGTGTCTGTCCCGTTAAGCCAGATTTTCCTCTCTGGCCAAGCCTCAATCAGAGGGACATGTCTTCTTTTCCTGACCACTCTCTCTCATCTCTAAAAGACACGCCTGTCACACCATTTGTCTCCCTGTCCCCGCCCCCCCCCCCCGCCGATGACCTCATGGATGAACCAGGCCTTCCTTCCGTGGTCATACCCTGCATAGAGTCACACCTTCATTCTTCACCACTTACGTTAAGCCAGACCACCAGATTCTCTCCTGATCACGCCCCTGTTCTATAATCCCACTCCCAGCTGATGACCTTTTTTTTTCTGTTTGTGTTTGTTTGTTTGTTTGTTTTTCGAGACAGGACTTCTCTGTAGCTTTGGAGCCTATCCTGGCACTCACTCTGTAGACCAGGCTGGCCTTGAACTCACAGAGATCCACCTGCCTCTGCCTCCCAAGTGGTGGGATTAAAGTTCTGAGCCACCAACGCCCGGCCCAGCTGATGATTTTACCTTACCCTCTAGCTTTTATTACCTAGCCTGGCCTCAGCAGCCCCATAGTGTATTGGCCACGCCCCCGTCGCAAGGCCACGCCCTAAACACTGACCTCAACCTTGGAACCCTCAGTCTTGCCCACTGTTTTCTGACCCAGTCTCCATTGGGAGTCAACCAACAGTCACAGTGGTCGTGCCCTTTAAGTTAGAGCAGTGCTTTGCCCAGGTCAGCTTCTGTCTCCAAGAGCTCCCACGACCTCTGTTCATTCCATATTAGGGTTTAAGACCATGCATTTAATTTTATCTATTCAGAGTGTTATTGCTCAGGAATGCCATGGTGCAGATGTGGAGGTCTGAGGGCACCTTTCAAGAGTTGGTTCTGGCCTGCCATCAAGTAGGTCTTTGTGATCAAACTCAGGCTTGGCTGTAAGCGTCTTCACTGCTAAGCCACCTGGTTTGCCCTCATTCATTGATGACCTCTGAGCACTACGGTAGATGTCTTCTCATTTTCCAGCTGATTTCACATAGAAAGCCCAACTATTTCCAAGAAACCTAATTGCAGTCCTGTGTTGTATTTTCCAAGAAACTTCAAGTCCCAGCTTCCTTCTCTTTCAGACCCATAGAGTCCATATGCCAGCCACTCCTGGCTGTGAGCTTGAAGATAGCCAGCCCTTCTTTGTTCTTATTTCTTGCTTTTTAAATTTAGAAATGAGCTCTTGTGCATCCTAGACTGGCCTTGAACTATGAGGTGGAGGATGACCTTGAATCTCTGAGCACCACAAGCAGGTATGAAGGTCAGATAGCAACTCAGGACTTTATTCTGCCCACCAGGTGGGCTCTGGATATTTAACTCAAGTTGACAGAACTGGCAGCAAATGCTTTTTCCTTGAGTCATGTGTCCAGCTCATAGCCACGTTTTCTTTGTTTATTTTGGGGTCTCTGTTTTCTGAGAATGCCTGTAGTTCATCAGGCTCGTTAGTTTTTTGTTAATTTGACACAGGCATGGGTCATCTGGGAAGAGGGAACTTCAAATTGGCCTGTAGGCTAGTCTGCAGGGCATTGTCTTGATTAATGATTCATGTTGAGGACCCACTGTGGGTGGTCCCACCCCTGGGCCAGTGTTCCTAAGTGCTGTAAGGCTGAGCAAGCCATGGGGAGCAAGCCAATGAACAGCGCTTCTCCAAGGTCTCTGCTTCTGCCTTTAGGTTCTTGGTTTGAGTTCTTGTTCTGATTTCCTTTCATGATGGACTGTAACTGTAATCTCAGATAAAACCGTACCCCCGACCCCAAGTTACTTTTGGTCATGATGCTTTCACAGCAATAGAAAACAAACTAGGACACCAGGCTAACCTCAACATCTCAAGAGCTGGGGATAAGATGAGTGGTATCATTTTTACTCAGACCTTCATATTTAAGAGAACAAGACCCAGGACCCTAACTCTCTGCCCTCAGGCAACCAGGCTCCGTCTCTATCCTGGGACAGGTGCCACTTGCAGCCACTAGTGCCTATGTAATGTGGAGTCTGCACTTTCATGAACCTTCAGAAACTCTGGGGGACCAGGCTTGACTCTGGCCAGCTCACAAAGAAGCGTATCCTCCTCAGAAGCAAAGAAGCTCGCCCCAACACCTCACTTTATCAAACATAAACAGGTTGGGCCAGAGACAGACAGCTGTGAGGTGGAACATCTGTCCAGCACATGTGAGACTCAGTGTTCTGAGGTTCATCTCCAGTTCTACACACATGCACACAGAGAGGAGGAGAGAGGGGGAGAGAGAGAGAGAGAGACACAGAGACAGAGAG